TAGTTTTCCTTCAAAAATCGAATCGACTGATATTTTTTCAACTTTCCTCTTGCACAAAATTTCAAACTTTGTGCAAAAAAAATCTTCGAAAATTAACAGAAAATTTGTAAAGCTTTTTATGAAATTCGGGTCAAATAATTCACAGAAAAAATGAAAATTTTCAAGACAATTCAATCAAAATTGTATTGTAATGTTCTAAAATGTACCGGAAAAATTAGAAAAATTGGTAATTTTTTTCATAAATTCCAGTTTTCAGTCCATTTTTTTTTGTTTTCCCCGTGTTTTCTAAAGGTTTCCTAATGAAAAACATGTTTAATGCAGATGATCAACAAAAAATTAGGACAATTCGGCGAAAATTCAAATTTTTGTTTACTTTTGTGCCAAATTTGCAAAAAAAAAGTTAGAAATTCGGTACTTCTCTCCAAAAACTCCCTATTTTATGTACTTTTATCTCTATTTTTCTACAGATTTTCCACCCAAGGTACTTTTCGGTCAAAAACTTCCAATCCGCCCGTCCCCTTCTCTTATTTTGTAGACATTTTTCTCTCCAAAAGGACAACATCAAATACGCAATAAAAGTTGTTTTTTTGTATTTGTTTTTGTGTGTGGCCGCCCTAGTAATTATGATGTTTTGTGGTGGGGAATGGTTAAGCGGTGTGTGATAGTACGTACAAAACTACATTCCTCACATTGACAAGTTTTTTGGTGAGGAAATGGAAAACAAACTAGAAAGAGAGAGAGAGAGAGAGGGGGGGGGAGAGACGCAGTAAGTCAGACTGTCTACCCGTCTGCACCCTCTTTCCTCTCATTTTCCAATCTGAAACCCTAAGGCTCCCTTCATTCCAGAATAAGCGGAAACCAACGTCGCCGTCGCGAGGACACGTTCGTCGTGTGGGAGGAGATCCCCACTCCGTCGGTATGCGATCATCGGGACACTATGAACTCCGAGGCCTCGTCGAGCCCACCGTCGGCTCCAACTCAGGAGCGGCTCATGCAGGTTAGTCTATGGCCCTGAGTTTTGGGTTGCTGGGAAGGAGGAAAGCGCGCTCTGTTGCTAGAATTATTTTGATTTGGAGGGATTTTGAAATTTTGTGTCCCCATTTTTTGGAAAGCGTGTTTAGGCCGAACTGGGCTGGACTAGACGGGGCCTGGCCGGATCAAGCCGGACCAGGCCGGATCAGTCCGGACCGGGCCGGACCAGGCCTGACCAGATCGGACCAGACCGGAGCAGGCCGGACCGGGCCGGTTTGGATCGGACCAGGTCGGACCAGACCAGGCCGGACCGGATCGGATCGAGCCGGACCAGACCGGACCAGACTGAACCGGGCCGGACCGGGCCGGACCGAGCCGGACCGAGCCGGATCAGGTCGGATCTGGCCGGATCGGGCCGGATCAGACCAAGCCGGATCAGGCCGAATCAGGTTCGGACCGGGCCGGATCAGGCCGGACCAATCCGGACAAGGCCGGACTGGATCGGACCGGGCTTCAAAAATTCTGAGAAAAGCCCGGCCCGTCACAACTATGATGAAGGGAGAGAGATACTCTAGAGAAGCTAGGCTGTCTAGATGTCTGCGTCTCTTCACTCCTCAGAAAGAGTATAGGAGCCAATGGCTTAGGCTACCGTCCGAAGGATTTCTGAGTCGAGACCAATTCTACTTGATGCCAATTTTGTTTTTTTTTTTCAAAAATTTTAAGCCCGGGCCCCGTTACCCCTTCAGTCCATCTAATATCGACGGGTCAATGTCGTTTTTCACACTTTTCTTATCAAATTTTTATCAGAAAACCCCCCGTTTACGTCACAATCTGGCCCCACTTTTTTCGCCGTCCACAACATTTTCCAAACGATTTTGATTCGGTGAAAAAGCAGAATTTTGATAAGAGCAGCTCAAAACGTGAGCGGGTTGAGAGAGCATTTTGCACGAAAACTGAGACGAAATGGGTGTTTCTTACTTGATAGATAGATACAAGGGTGAAGGTCGGAGACAGGAAATATTAATTATAAATAGAATTTCTCAAAAACCAGAACACTCTGAGGTCAAAATCAAAATGATATCGATTTAGTTTTTGGACTTTTGGTACTTTGAAATAAGTGTCGTAAAAACATGAAATAAGCTGTTTATATGGGTAATTTCCGGAGGGAAATCAAAAATAGAAATGATAAATTTTTGAGAAAAAAATACGTAAGAAGTTCAAAAAACACTGTTTTTTTCCTTGAAAGCTCATGAAAATTAAAAAAAAAGCATTTTTGACCCTCAATTTTTTCCAAACTGTATATGACATTTATACCAATCGATAGGATTTTTTTCGAACTACAAAATCGTTTTTTAATCAATTTGAACCGACCGAGATTGAGATAGCAAGGAGTAAAAAGAGCGCCTTTTGAGGATCTCTCACGATTGAAGAGGTTTTTTTTCTAGAATTTTTTTCAAGTACGGATTGAAAATTTTGAAAATATTTCATCAAGTTTTTTTTTGTAAAACTTTTCCGAAAATGTTCAACTTCCCGGCCGTTCCAAGTTTGCAGCAGTCCCCTTTTTTCCGGTCTTACTGTTGTCCGGAAGTGAGTACATCATTTCTAGTCTTGTAGGTTTGTAGTCCTGACCTCTATCTCTTTCCTGTATTGGAAAGAGATAGAGGATGCATAATTGGGTGCATTTTGTTATTATGGAAAATATTTGTTCATTCTCGAGTCAGATTCACTCTAGTGCAATCGAGTACAAGTCGAAAAACTCTTCGGTACAGAGCATCAAGGTTACAAAGCTCAACAGTTTCCAATCAGCCATTTTTGTTGTAGACAACAGCTTATGGGCAGCTCATAATACATGAAACATTTTGAACTTTGCTGTCATCATAGTTTCTGGAAGCATCACATTTTTCATGGACATGCCCCTTGCCTGTCTGTACTAGACGATGTGGAAAACAGCTCGAAACTGTCTGTTATCAATGGGTAGTGGTGATGGTTGATCTGGATTAGTTGAACAGCCCTCGTGGAGGTTCAGTGGGAATTCAAAAAGTGAAGCAGAGATCACAGTGTATTTTGACGTGAAGACGACTGGTTGCGGTGTTCGCAGAGTCGGCATTAGGGCTTTAGACAGTATTGTTTCTTCCAGGGAAACCGTATGTAGCTGTTTAAGCTCTGTAGATGATTTTCTTAATAGCGAAATGTGGGTCTCGCCCCGGAAAATTGTGTACTGTCGAATTTTTTCTTCAGAAAATTCCTCAAAAAATTTCGACCCCAGTGCATACCAGAAACAAAACCGTTAAAAAAATTCCGAGTACATTGTTCCAATGATCATTTATAGCTACATTTTATGAGACCTGTTCGAAATAATTTGATATCAAACTTCCACCGGATACTGTAGCCATTGACACCATCGTAAATGTAATGTCAAATTGTGTACCGGAAACTCATTTTCGTGAATTTTACTGCACTTGTTTTCTTGCTCACATTCAAAAAAAAATCAAAAATAGTTTTTCTGGAAAACGGAAATTCTCACAATTTTCTAGTTTGTGTTCGATGTCATTCTGACCCATTTTGTGATTTTGTCATTACCAGCTCAACCCTTTTGAAGGGCGTGATGACCAATACTGGTCAAACTACAAAACTTTTTTTTTCGATTTCTCTGGATTTTTTGTTCCTAATACCCTTTTTTCCCAACCAAAAGCAACATTTTGTTTGATTGACTTTTGACAAAACTCTTCGATAAATAAATAGAATTAGGGGAAAACTCCTAATTTTTTTCACTGGCATTGATAAGACCAAGGTTTTGGAGAGCACGTTTCTTCCCAATACAAACACATGACTTTCCATGAGGCATCTTATTCTGTTTGGCGGTAAAAAACACCGTGTGATCAATGATATTGGGAAAGGAAATGCGCTCTAAAATGGGTAGATAAAAAAATTGCTCAGAATAAAATTCCGATTGTAAAACGGGTGTAACTCGGCTCTAACTCAATGGTTTGGAGTTTCGTAAGCACCAATTTGCTTAGAATTAAATTCTACACATTTTGTGCCTAGTTAAGGTTCGGTGACCTAGAAATCCAAATTTCGATTTTTCTAGGCCACCAAGCTTGAGTAGGTTAGAAATGTGCAGAATTTGATTCTAAACAGAACGGTGTAAATATCATTGGAAAAAAATCAGTTTGAGCCGAGTTACGGCCCTGGGCAATTTTTTGATCTACCGATTTTTTCTAGCTGTGGAGCGCGCTTTGTAGTGTTGTTATCAGTAGAGCAAAATTGCATCATCGTAGTTTCTATCCACCGTAGTCGTGCTTTGTAGTGTCGAAAAAAAATTTTCTAAAAGTTGTTGTCCCGAGTACAAACACACAAATTATTGTTATCATTTTTAATAATGATAAAACGTCATGGTGCTTCCGATTCTTTTTTAGAAATTGTAACCCCCGCAATTTTTGCCCCAAAGGAATTCCCCCACTTGTCACATGATAGGAACAAAAACAAGTTACCTTAAAGGCGCATACAAGTTTTTCAGACAAATCGAAATAATTCAGCGGACTTTGGTCAAGTTTGACCAAAATCAGCCAGTTAATCGGATTAAAACAGGTCCTGAATTAAATTTTTTTGAATAAGAAAAAAAATATTTTGGAATGAGGAACAATTTTATTTTTTTTTACTTTGTCAAAGAAAAGAAGAGACAAGAATGAGTAATCAAATCAAACTTGCTTAGAGAAAAGGGGAACGTGTGAATCATTGTTAATGTGAGTGGGAGAGAAAATCAGGCGTACTTTACATATATTGTGATAATGTACTTATGATAATACATATTCCTCTCTCGATGGATTATACGCGAAAAGAGGGAAAATAGGTCACGAGGAAAGTGATTTAGTACCCCCACCGGTGAAGGTGTGGACAACAGATGCCTAGCTGCACAGTCTCGAAATGGTTTCACATGGTGAGCTTCTTATCCCTTGGCGACCAGAGAGAGAGAGAAAGAGAGGAAAAGCGCGCGAAGGTATATGGCATCGCCTCCCTTGTTGGTTGTCGCACCAATGGCGCAGCGGCTAGCGCTCTTGTTTTCGAAATTTTAGTCGGGGGTTCGAGCCCACTAGGGGGTAAATTCTTTTTTTTTTATTTTTTCGGAAAGTGTGAGCAGTTTGTATTTGTTGAATTATCAATTTTAAATGAACTTTTGATAGCTTTGACGTTTTCCAAGAACTTTTTTGGCGGAAACTATATTCATCAGTATCTAGACCCCCCTAGCAGGTTTTTTTTCAAAATTTTTTGGATTTTCAAAAAAGTACCTGGTACTATTGGTAGATCAAAAAATTCTTTATCGATTGATATAAATATCATATAGGTTTCAATCAGAAAATACCGTCAGAAAATGGTTTTTTGGCACTAAGTTTTGAATTTTTTTGATTTTTGACAGTGTTTTTTTAAGCAACCGTTCAATTCTAATCGGTAGATCAAAAAATTCTCTATCGATTGGTGTAAATATCATATGGGTTTGAATCAGGAAAAACTGTCAGAAATGGTTTTTTTTTGACACTAATATTCGATTTTCACAAACCTGGACCCATTTTCCATTCTACCAATCGATAAAAATTTTTTGATCTACTACTTCTGATCTACCATGATGCCCCATGACTTAGAACAAGTATGTGATTCATTCCAAACCAATCACATTTTGAACTTTCCGGTTGCCTCGTTTTTACGCAAGCTTCTCCTACTAACTACAGTTTGTTTAGGAGTGACGAACTTATTTATGAAATCATAGAGAGATAAGAAAACTCGAGAGAGGCGCAGAGAATGTAATTTTTCTCAAAGGAAGATCCAGAAGAGAAAAACGGGTGTTCCCGTAGTGTTTACTCTGAGCTTATATGACCACACAAGACGGTTAGAAAAAGAAAAAAAAAAGTTTTGACCACAAGGGGGATCGAACCCGGGGGTCCCCTCCCCAAAGACAAAACGCATACCACCTGCGCCACTCGAGAATCGAAAGAAAAAGGAGGCGAGGGTCCTAATAAGCGCGCGGAAAAGAGGGGAACGATTCTCCGGAAACTCTTACGACTCAAAAAGTGCAAAAACTAAATCAATACTCGTTTGATTTCTTATTTTTTATCATGCTTTTTTGGGCTCATGCGCCTTTAAACTCAGGGTACTGTACTCTCGAAAAAAAAGTGACGGCATTCCAGAAAAAAGAAACATAAAGAAACCGAGTTTGACGTACTAAGATTAGAAAAACAGGTTGTGAGTTTCATCATAATTTGCATGAACGTCTCCCCTCCCCCCTCTTACCCCACATGGGGGTGCCCCCATGACGTGTGGTGACGTCACGCGGGGTACGGTAGCTCCTTAGAAAAAAAAATGTTTTGGCACAACCGAAACTCTTCCGTAAATTAAACACGGTATTGCTGCGTTCCTGTCCTCCTCCCTCGTCACTTTCCCCCAATTAGAGAGCGCACCGATGGCGGAGACGCAGAAACGTCCCCCTGACTCCGCCCACTTTTCCCTCGCAAGGCGGAGAGAAATGACAAGGAGGACGGAGGACACACCGCATTATCAGCAGCTTTTTTACACCTTACCTTATAAGACAGTACGTGTGTCTGTAGAGAAAGACTTCTGTTTTAATATTGACTTGGCCTAAAATATATTCACTGCTATGACAACACTATTTGAAAAATTTGCTGAACTCATGTTGTTGGACACGCGAAAAAACTTATCGAATTCGTCACCTGAGAAGAGTATTCTACTCAAGCGAATGGCTGCTAATGTATGGTTGGAAAATTTTTTTTTTTTTTTTTTTTGAAATTTTTTTGAAATGTTTTTTTGAATTTGGTATATCTCGGTTCTGGTTGGTGCTATCAAAAAAGTGTCAACTAATAAAATTTAGATTTTTAAATTTTGAACAAAAAATTAGTTGACAGTTTTTTGATAGCTGTAACCAGTGTTGAGATATACTGCTTTGAATCATTGGCCTTAGGTATCTAAGAGTGGCCCCTTGTCCCCATTTTTGAAGCGCCATATCTTAGTTCCTTTTTGTGCTATCAAAAAACTTTTAACTAACAAAATATTTATTTTCAAATTTCCTACAAAAAACTAGTTGACAACTTTTCTATAGCTCTAATAACAATCGAGATATACTGATTTAAAGTTGAGGCTCTTACCCAAAAGTGTACAGTAATCCGAACGTCATTCCCATCATTCTAAACCTGCACAAAACTATACAAAAAACCTCATTGAGTCACTCCCTGCTCTCTAAGAAAACTAAAAAAAAATCACCCTAAACGTGCACACCTTGATAAGGTGCTTAGTGGGACTTCGAACCCTAAGTCATTTCCCACAAAAAGTCATAAACCCTTTTTTTTTCAGATAATCAGCTGCTTTCCATACCCGACCCAACGACCGGCAAGCCCTCAGTGCACCCCAAAAACCACGTCGCCGTCTGCAGAGTCGTGCGAACATCGCGCCTTTTGTGATGCTTTTGGAAAATTGGTTCAGGTTAGTCTTATTAAATTTTTTTTTTCGAATTTTTTTTCTTTCCTCCAAAAATGAGCAACCATGCTCTACTGAAAATCTTAAATTAGCGGTGTTTTTAGAACCGAAAAAAATCTATCAACGAGAAAAAAATTTTTAAAAATTTTTTTTTAATTTTCGTCAATTCAAATTTGATTTTTTTTCGGTTTTTCTCGGCACTCAAATTTCTGAAAATCAATATTATTTTGATCGACAAAAAATGACTACTATGACTCATTTTTTTCAGAAAAAAAAATTTTTTTGTCGAAAAAAAAAATCCAGAGCTAACATTTTTCACCCTACTAACACATCCCATTTATCAGAAAAATTTTTGTTTCGAAAAAAAATTTCTATGACAACTTCCGTTTGCTCTTCCGTCTCACGGCATCATTTTTTTCTTCAAAAAAAAAATTTTTTTCTAAAAAAATCTAAAAATCCATTACATTTTTCTGATATCTTTTCGTTTCTTCCACCAAACTATCTTCCATTTTTTCCATTTTGAAGTAGATGTACACAAAAAGTGGGCGGTGTATTATTTGTTTATTAAGGTAAATAATTCCATCGATCTAAGGTCATTCTTCAATTTTTTTGCTCATTTTCTCATTTTCTCTGCCTCTCTGCCACCCTCCAACTCTCTCGTTTCCGTAAATACAACACGTTCTAGCTCTTGTTTTTGATGCTGTATTTATTTATTTGTATGTACTCAACCAAAAAAAATCCAGCTCAAAAAATTGCGACGCCCCGGGTTTTTAGGTTTTTACGAGCGACCCATAACCGAGTCACCTGCTACGACGCACTCAAAAATACGTATTCGTCAAGAAGACTCACACAAAAAAATTCCAATCTTATCAGTACTCTCTCGCCTTGAAGAGAGCACCAGACAACTCACATGGGTATCAAAAGGGGGCGGAGCCTATTTGGTCTTATCACCGGGGGAGAAGACGACGACTCTTCAATCAATCGAAATAGAATATTATTACTATTTTATTCGCAAAAAAAATTATGAGTAGTGGTCCACCCGCCCAGCATCGACAACTCCGACGGGCCGCCCATATTACTAAAATCGCCTCTATCGACCTATGTAGTTTGGAGGAAGAAGACTCTGAGGATCTTGTCCTCGAGGAGTCCGCCAATATTCAAAATGAGAAGCCACCCCACCGTCCACCCTACTCCACTTTGATTCGTAAGCGCTCCGGAAAAGCGTTGAGATTCGTTCGTCCGAAGCTTGCAGATATCTGGCATAGTCGGTATCATGAGGCTAGTTTTGATCTGGGAAGACGTCTTGGGATTGGGCGGCGGACACAGTCGTGTTGTGATGATGTCAGTGATGATCAGGTAATAAAAAGAAAAAAAAAGCAAAAAAGATTGGAGGTGCGGGGGGTCGAACCCAGGTGTCCGAGATTGAAAAGCGGGAGCGTTAGCCACAAGGCCATGGGTGCATTAAAAGTAAAGAAGGCAGAGGGCATATAGAAAAGCGGGGGAGGGGGTAGAGGGAAGGGGAAGGGTGTGTGATGCCACGTAGGCAGTAATCAATGCAGAAGCAAACGCGCCCCATTGTGAATCTTCTTGTTTTGACCCTAAAGCGCCAATGGAGCGCATTTCTATCAATTTTTCTTTCTAAAATACGAAAATACATCATTCTCTTTTAACTAATGACGTCTCACTCTCTCTATTCTCCTGTCAAAAAAAAGTCAAAACTCAAAATATCTCGTGCTCTCAATATGTATTTTTGTCCTTTTCCTGCCCCAAACTCTCCACTAATCGGATTCCGATTAACCAATTAATAATTTCGACAAAAAAATTGATTATCAGTGATTAATCGGATTAAGAAAAATGACGCATATTATTATTTTTTATCGTTCCAGGTATCCGTCGAAACCATGGCTATCACAGCGCTCCCGATGGATGTATGGCTCAAAGAGCGTCTGAAGAAATGGGTGCAGTTATCAGGTCACGAAGGTTTGTACCCTAACCGGAGCCTCGGAGAAAAAAAAGTGACGCTTTTCTTTTGCAGGAAGCATTGTGCCAGCCACACCTCACACATTATACAAGAAACAGTGTGCGAATTGTGGAGAGGGAAGGGCCTATAAGAATATTTCAAAGGACGCGGCGTTGAACGGTTTCACCCCCAAATACTACAATGAATTGGAGAAAAATGAGGAGCATTTCATTGAGATTGAGGATCTCCTTCAACAATTCGCCGATCCAACGAAGACAGCCATTATGGACATTAAAATTGGGACTCGGACATTTTTGGAATCTGAAGTGTCGAATACGAAAAAGCGAGCAGATTTGTATGAGAAGATGGTGGCGATCGATAATGATGAGCCGACGGAGGAGGAGAGAAAGTTGGGAGCCATCACCAAATTGAGATACATGCAGTTTAGAGAACGGGAGAGCAGTACTGCACAACTCGGATTCAGAATTGAGGCGGCTAAGGTGAGACTGGTGTTTGCGGACTTAGCATCATATCTTACGACAGTTTAGCCTTGAGCCTAACAGTGCGCTGAAGGATTACTATCGAATTGTGTGTAATTTGACGTGACGGTGTCTTAGGCGCGGTGTTTGCGGACCTTGAAAAACTTAGCATCTTCGCACG